AGGTACCTAGCACCACCAACTCCGCTTGAATTTGTCTGGGGCTCTTTTTAGAAACATGTTTTTCTTCCCTGTTCAGGACATAACTGTACTCATCTCTTTTAAGCGCCTGCACCCCCTCAAACAGTTGTTACAGAAGAGAAAACATATGTGGCCATTCGTAAAAAGAGAGAAACCGTGGCACGCAAAGGTATATTTCAACTGCTTCAAAACATTGATTGTTATCTTTGGCCTTAAGATCCCAGAACTGCATGTTATATAATTCACTGTTATTTTTTTTAAAAAAATCTAATTATAAACCTACTAATATCTTTAAAGAGCCTGACAAAACTCAAGAAGTGTTTCCAGCGCTGAAGTCACATGAGGCTGTTCCTGAAATTCCTGAACCTCCCCCCGCTGAAGGTACAAACTCTTGTCATGAGACTCTAAACAAGAAAATCTTCCATCTTGTGTTTGTCAAATGTCCAGTGTTTTATGTGTGTTGCCTCAACCTCTTAAATACTAATATCTTCAAAGCATCTCTCAAAAATGCCCAAGACCAGGAACTATTCGTGACTTGCCCCACCCATACAGTGCACAAAGATAGACTGTTAAAAAGAAAATACAAATTCTAACTTTTGAAGTCTGTTGTATACCTCATTTTCTTTGTGCATCATGTCATTGTTTTTGCCTTTTCTCAATTATATTTTCTTAAAAACTAATATCTTTAAAGACCTTGAAGTCATCAAAGATGTGCTTCCAGAGAAACAAGCTCCTGCAGCCAAAAGAAGAAAGCCTCAGCTGCCAGCAGGTACAAGCTGGGATAAAGTCCAGCTGCTGATCTCAGCTGTAGCTGTGGCTATCGTGTGAACATACTAACCTCTTCAAAAGCCCAGTGGTTACCAAAGAATGCATCCTCGAGGATCATGCTTAACCAACTGAATGTGTACAGTCAACCATCTAGAAGGCAACCTTAAACTCCCACACAGGAAAGAATTTACAGTTTAGCTATAAGAACTGCAGAGAAAACATGGAATGTTTGATGTTCAAATATGCCTAAGACATGTTCTTTATTGGAAAATGGCTATTAACTAAAAAGTAATAATAAAAGCCAGACTAGCTAAAAAAAAATCAACAAGAAAGCTGTATGGCATGTATAACTCTACAACTAGATTGAGCTAGCTTAATGCATGCCCTCTGAAGCAGGAAGCAGTGACATCAGGTGACAAAGGTTCTTGATTGGTCATGTACCACATGATAGTGATTGAACCTTTCATGGAGTTAAAAGTCCGGTATGTATCACCATGCATGCTGTAAGTTGTCAGAAATGTTCTTCATATTAAACTCATTTCCAAAATAAGCATAGGAACATAAATCTGACTTCAAGTAAGACTTAAATGTCATAGAAATGACTTTATAGAAAGTCATGACTTAATGTGAAGTTGATTTGCCTGTGACATCATCTTAGAGCCATGGCTAAATAATTCTAGTTCATACTGGTATTCTCTCCTGAATACTTGCTTGTCCTTCCCATGACTTGTATTTCCACTTTAATACTTTAATGTATGTTTTTCCACTCTAAATATTTCTAGATAAGTCAAAATTCAGGAAGTTTAAAAGACTTTCAGGATCACAACCTCATATATATATATATGTATATATATGATAGTATATAAAATGATATTTTATAATTTAAAAAAATAGCCAAGTAATTTGATTCTTTTCCTCTGTCTGGAATCTTGCTTGTCCCCTCAAAGTCACCTTTGGGTAGGTGCTAGGAAGCTGGAAAGGAATAAACAAGGGACGAGACTTAGTACCTCCACTCAGGACTCCACACCTCCTCAGACCCTCCAAGGAGCCCCCCCCCCCAGTAGCAACAGCAATCACTTTGGTTCACTTTATGGGATTAATGTCCCTTCTAACTAACCCTTCTAACCTCTGACTCTAATGCTAATATCTTCAAAGCACCCGAAGCTGTGAAAGAAATGGCTCCCGAGATGAGCACCTTTGAAGATATTCCTGTTGAGCCAGAAACGCCAGTCATCCAAGGTACATGTCACCGCTGAACATAAATGAAAGAAGAAAGTGCCTTCCCGCAAACTCTTAAATCTTGTTTTTTCTTAACTGTTCCTAACTCCTATATGTAAATGTACTAATATCTTTACGTCATCGGAAGTTCCAGTATGTTCCATCTAGAAAGCATTGGTGGCCATTTTGCCAAAACAATAATCCTATTCCAAGCATTCACCTGAGAAATTAAATCCTATCTCAGTTTTCATAAGGAAGTCCAGGATACCCCGCCCCCATGCAGATGCCAAAATCAGTGGCTGCTCAAAAAGTTCCTTATAGAAAACAAGATCAAATCTGCATATAACCAAAGTAATGTTGGCACTCCCTTTGAGCACCCCCAGATCACTTATGGCCTAATAGAACATAAATAGTCTGTGAATGGCCTCATTCTGTGTTGCTTGGGAAATGCTGACAAAGACATAATGGATGCACACATTCAGTATAGATAGTTTCTCTATCCGTAACTGAATGCAGGCAACAGAAGCCTGGCTGTTGTGTACCGTGATTGTGTGGGGATTATGCAGCCCCTCTTCTCAAGAATCCTACAAGTCCCAGCATACTAGTTTGTTGGCAGATGAGGGGAAGTAGGGAAGGGAGGAGAAGTCTTTTCTAGAAAGCAGCACACTACTACTGTGGCTGTTGTTCACATGAGTCATTTTAACTCTGAAATGTGAAATGCTAATATCTTTTAAGAACCGGAAGCCCCTTCTGAAGTTGCTGCTGCAAAGGGAGCCCCTTCAAAGCCCAGAGAAGCCCGCTCAGTGACAGGTATAAGCTGCCAAGCCCACAGGCTCAGGAGCTAGCTGTAGTCATTTTTGAACATACTTTCTTCTTCCTGGTGACTTTGCTTAACACTAAATGCAAAACCACTAATTTCTTGAAGTGCTGGATACTTATGAAGAAGCCACCATCGAAAAGAAAACGCTTCGGATTTCTCGTAAAAAGCCTGAGCTTCCTCCAGAAGAAGGTAGATGCTGTTGGAAGTGTGAAAGGGCAGGAAATGTCTTCAGCTGTCTGTGTGTGTTTTCTGTTTGTGGCAATTCTTTTGGTTCCTAAATGTCAAAGTGTTAATATCTTTCAAGTGCCTGACGCGCCCAGAGAAGTTGTGGCCTTAAAGAAAGTACACCCTCCCCAAGTGCCGGAAGTTGTACCTGCCAAAGGTACATGCTTGATAGTCTCTTTCCATGGGAGGGCAAGGGGGACGACAGGAAGGCTTGGGACTCCTGTCATGTATATATAGCTCCTGTGTATGTGGAATGCTTTGACTTAGTGTAAATTGACTCATGTCTCCAAAGAACCCGAATCTTCTAATGAAGTGACCCCCAATGAAAGTCACTAATTCAAAGCCTAACGTACCGCCTGTTACAAGTACTAATTAGCCCTGATGAGGTTCAAGAGGAAAAAAAGTTCATTTGGCTTGAATAATGTTCTGTGTGTCTACTGGTCTTTGTACTGTCTACCTGTAAAACATACTAATCTCTTTGACGCACCTGGGACTGTCCCTGAAAGGGAAGTGCTTGGGGAGCCACCTAAAAGGCGTGAAGCCCCACCTGCCACAGGTACTCATCCCTGAGGCTTCCTAAGACCTGTCATCTGCTCTTGAAAATATTCCATTCTATTGGTCTTCATAACTCTTAGACATAATCTTACTGATCTCTTTGAAGTGCCTGAGGCCCCTAAAGAGGTTGTCCCTGAAAGGAAAGTATCCCTGGCGCCTCCTAAAAAGCCAGCAGCTCCACCTGTCACAGGTACTTCTCACTGGCCTGAGGTTTCACAAAGCCTCACTCCTTTGGTTCTCCATCCTACTTGTCAGGCATCCTAATGCAGTTTCACTAATCTCTTTTAAGTGCCAGAGGCACCCGAAGAAGAGGTCCTCTCTGAAGAGGAAGTGTCCCTGGTGCCCCCTAAAGAGCCAGAAGCCCCACCTGCCAAAGGTATTTCTCACTAACTTTGGGATTCCTGAGACCTAACTCTTATACTCTTGAACATATGCGGCCTCCTGCTCTTCTACGTCCTAAGTGAACTTTCACTAATCTCTTTGAAGTATCTGAGGCTCCCAAAGAAGTTGTTCCTGCAAAGAAAGTATCTGTGGTGCCCCCGAAAAAGCCAGAAGCCCCACCTGCCAAAGGTATTTGTCACTGGTCCCAGGCTTCCTAAGACAAAGCTCCTCTACTCTTGAAAATATTTTGTCCTGGTGTCGTCACGTGTCTTATATGTGTTTACTAATCTCTTTAAGTGCCAGAGGCACCCCAGAAAGTTGTTCCTGAGAAGAAAGTGCCAGCGGCCCCTCCTAAAAAGCCAGAAGCCCCACCTGTGAAAGGTATTTGCTCTTGACCTTGTCATCCTAGCATCTAAGTCTTCCTCTCTCTTGAAAAGTCCACCCTAGTGGCCATCACTGGTCCTAAGGATAATCTTACTCTCTCTTCCAAGTGCCAGAGGCACCCAAAGAAGTTGTTCCTGAGAAGAAAGTGCCAGCGGCCCCTCCTAAAAAGCCTGAAGCCCCACCTGTGAAAGGTAGCCACCCCCACACCACCAATCTTCATAGTGTCCAATATGTGTCCACTCTGTCTAATCAAGAAAATACTAATATCTTAGAATTGCCCGAGATGTCAAAGGCTGCTCCCCAAAAGAAGATACCTGAAGTCATTCCCCCTAAACCGGAAAGTCCTCCCCCCGAAGGTATAGTCAAAAGTACACTAAGAAGGAGATAAATATATATTTCAACCAAAGTATTATACACATGTTTGTATGTCAAGTATATATATGTGTGTGTGTGTGTATATATATATATACAATATTATATAAATGTGTTCATATATAAAGGTAATGTAAATTTTAAAATGTCAGTAACTATCTATTATGTCTCCTATGATCATATGCTACATACCTCAATTGATTTAGCCTTTTCTAAACTCAAATTACAAATTATCTTTGAAGTGCCTGAAGTAAGAAAGGAAGTCACCCCTGAAAAGAAAGTTCCAGTGGCTCCTCCCAAGAAACCAGAAGTTCCACCTGCCAAAGGTATGTGTCCTTACATGTTGCTGCGCACCTGTATTGGGCTGGGGAAAGTATGTTCGTGTGTCTGTCCACCAGTGTGTTAACTTGGATAAACATATCACTAGTAAACCCTGTCTAGTTCTAACTGAAAGCTACTAATATCTTCAAAGTTTCTGAAGAGGTTGTACCTGCAAAGAGGTTGTCTGTGTCCAAAAGCTCTCAGGTCCCACCTACAAAAGGTATTTTACTTTCTTCGACCCTAAGAAAAAAATAGCTTGGAACCCTCATATTCTTATAAAATATGCCTTAATCATTCATAATTTCTGAAACTACTAATGTTGTTTAAGCACCTGACGCCCCTCCAGAAGTTACCCCAGAAGAAAACCTTCCCGAGGAACTGCCCAAAAGGGCAGGTGCCACAGCTGTCCCAGGTACATGCCAGCTGAAGTAGCCTTCAGAGAGGTCACCCTCCCACTCTTAAACACAAATGTAGACTGTTGTCTTCACTAACCTAAGTGGTAAAACTACTAATATCTTTTAAGTGCCGGAAATTCAAGACATTGTCCCTGAAAAGAAAAGACCAGCGGTACCTCCTAAAAAGCCAGAAGCTGCCCCTGTCCCAGGTACTGGTCTTTTAGACCTTTTTAGAAGAAATCTGTCTTCTGTGCTTAAAAGTGGATATAGGCCTTGTCTTCACTAACCTAAATGTAAAACCACTAATATCTTTAAGTGCCTGAAGTTCAAGAAATTGTCCCTGAAAAGACAAGACGGAGAGTGCCTCCTAAGGAGCCAGAAGCCTCACCTGCCCCAGGTACTTGTCAGCTAAACTAGTCTTCAGAAGAAATTTCTCTTCCATTCTTGAAAACAAATTTAGACCGTCACTCTTATTAACTTAAGTGTAAAACTACTAATATCTTTAAGTGCCCGAAGTCCAAGAAATTGTTCCTGAAAAGACAAGACCAGCCGCATCTCCTAAGAAGCCAGAAGTCCCACCTGTCCCAGGTACTTGTTACCAAGACCTTCTTCAGAAGAAATCTTCTTCCATTCTTGAAATGTAGACTGCTACTCTTTACTAACCTAACTATAAAACTACTAATATCTTCAAGTGCCCAGAGTCCAAGAAATTGTCCCTGAAAAGACAAGACCAACAGCACCTCCTAAGAAGCCAGAAGTCTCAGCTGTCCCAGGTACTTGTTACCCGGATCTTCTTCTTTAGAAGAAATAAATTCATTCACCCTTGAAAAGCTTTAGTTCTTTGCCCGTTCATACTTCAATCCGTAACTCCTACTGTCTATCAAGTGCCTGGAGCTCATCAAGCAGTTGAAAAGAGAAGAAAAAAGAAAGCTCCTATGGTCCCACCCCCAAAATTTGAACACCCACCTACCATAGGCATTTTTAAATCCTCTACTTAATCTTCAGAATGAATGCCTTCTGTTCTTGAATACATTTCTAGTCTGTTTACCTAATTGCCCTATATAAAAGAAGAGCGATTTATCTCATTTAAGTGCCGGAAATTGTCCCTGAAAAGAAAATAGTGACATCTCCTAAGAAGCCAGAAGCCCTTTCTGTCTTAAGCACTTGTCACAGACCCAAGGTTTCAGAAGCTGTAACTCTGTTGCTCTTGAGAAATAAGAGTGAACTTTGGTCTCCATAAGACCTAAGTATAATCTCGCTACTCCCTTTGAAGTGCCTGAGGCCCCTAAAGAGGTTGTCCCTGAAAGGAAAGTGTCCCTGGCGCCTCCTAAAAAGCCAGCAGCTCCACCTGTCACAGGTACTTCTCACTGGCCTGAGGTTTCACAAAGCCTCACTCCTTTGGTTCTCCATCCTACTTGTCAGGCATCCTAATGTAGTTTCACTAATCTCTTTTAAGTGCCAGAGGCACCCGAAGAAGAGGTCCTCTCTGAAGAGGAAGTGTCCCTGGTGCCCCCTAAAGAGCCAGAAGCCCCACCTGCCAAAGGTATTTCTCACTAACTTTGGGATTCCTGAGACCTAACTCTTATACTCTTGAACATATGCGGCCTCCTGCTCTTCTACGTCCTAAGTGAACTTTCACTAATCTCTTTTAAGTACCTGAGGCTCCCAAAGAAGTTGTTCCTGCAAAGAAAGTGTCTGTGGTACCCCCGAAAAAGCCAGAAGCCCCACCTGCCAAAGGTATTTGTCACTGGTCCCAGGCTTCCTAAGACAAAGCTCCTCTACTCTTGAAAATACTTTGTCCTGGCGTCGTCACGTGTCTTATATGTGCTTACTAATCTCTTTAAGTGCCAGAGGCACCCCAGAAAGTTGTTCCTGAGAAGAAAGTGCCAGCGGCCCCTCCTAAAAAGCCAGAAGCCCCACCTGTGAAAGGTATTTGCTCTTGACCTTGTCATCCTAGCTCTAAGTCTTCCTCTCTCTTGAAAAGTCCACCCTAGTGGCCATCACTGGTCCTAAGGATAATCTTACTCTCTCTTCTAAGTGCCAGAGGCACCCAAAGAAGTTGTTCCTGAGAAGAAAGTGCCAGCGGCCCCTCCTAAAAAGCCTGAAGCCCCACCTGTGAAAGGTAGCCACCCCCACGCCACCGATCTTCATAGTGTCCAATATGTGTCCACTCTGTCTAATCAAGAAAATACTAATATCTTAGAATTGCCCGAGATTCCAAAGGCTGCTCCCCAAAAGAAGATACCTGAAGACATTCCCCCTAAACCAGAAAGTCCTCCCCCCGAAGGTAATAATTAAACTAAACTATTATCTTTAAAAAATGTTCAATGTCTCTGTTGTGGAAATATTTTCTGTTGAATATGTCACACGTCCCTGTCAAGTCTGTCACTAAAAGGGGCTCCTGTCTTTAAAGTGTATGAGGAGCCCGCAGAGGAGAGTGCCCCAGAAGAACCTCCGGAGGAGGCTGTAGAAGAGCCAGTGCCTGCTCCACCTCCCAAAGGTACTTGGCGAGTCAACTGGAGTGCCTCTGTCTGCCTTTGCCCTCGTTCTCTGGTTCACTGGTCCTCACAGTGTGGGCTGGTTGGGCTATCTTTCTTCCATTTGTCTTATGTTTCTAAGGCATAAATTCTCCTATCTGTAGTGACAGTGCCACCTAAGAAGCCCGTCCCTGACAAGAAAGTGGCCCCTGCTATTGCCAAGAAACCTGAACCACCAGCAGCGAAAGGTATTTTCGCTGCTGTTAACTCCGTACAGTCTTTTGACTCTGAAATGTCATGTTCCACTACTGTACTTACTGATGCCACGTGGCTGGAACTACACGTTAAAACCTACTAATATCTTTTAAAGTGCCCGAAGTGCCCAAGGAAGCTGTTCCTGAAAAGAAAATGCCTCCTGTGGTGCCCAAAAAACCAGAAGCCCCACCTGCAAAAGGTACATGTGGAGGTGGATTATTGGATGAAGGCGGGAATGGTCTCCGGTTCTTAAACAGCATTTTGTCCTGTGTGAGTGTGCTGGGTGGGCCCGTGCCGATTGGTCATGTGTTAAAATACTAATATCTTTAAAGTGCCAGAAGTTCCCAAAGAAGTTGTCCCAGAAAAGAAAGTGGCTGTTTCCAAAAAGCCAGAAGCCCCACCAACCAAAGGTACATGTCAATAGCCAGACTCTTTAGCAAGGTACTCCGTCTTGGTCTCCACTGTCACCCAGTGTCAAAGTCTTTGTCAGTTTTCTGATATGCGCACTTATAAAAGTGTTTCTGGGAATTTAGAGTTTACAGAATACTTTAACAAACATCACCACTTTTTTTAAAACTTAAAAAGATGAATGCCTTTGTTCACAAATTCTTAATATCCCTCTTTTTACTCCACACGACATGAAGATCCAAGGACAGGTACTGACCTTTTGCTCTTGGGTTCTATCTGTCTTGGGGTTGTTTGAGAAAAATGTGAAGTTGACAGGTTACGAACTTCTCCATGACCCCAAAATAAAACTAACTAATATCTTCAAAGTGCCAGAGGTGCCAAAGAAGGCTGTCATTGAAGAAAAACCCACCGTTCCTGTTCCTGAGAGAGTGGAGTCTCCTCCCCCAGAAGGTACGCATTGAGCTATCGTATCACTCTTTATAAGCCAAGCTTTATTTATCTTCTTTTCTTGAATCTTCTTGTATCCCTCACGTTCTCTCCCTTGGTCATTTACTGTTCTTGCTTTTCATCATCCAAATTAGCTCTGACTTCAAATTGCCAGTCAGCAATGATTATACAGGTCATAGGTCACAGTCACCATGATCTGCCTTCAGCCTAGCTTCTCTAATTACATAAGAAATAAGATGGGACATTTATGAGTATGGATGACCTTAAAAAGAAAGAGCTTTTCCAAGCATCCAGATCGGTATACACAGAAGTCAAGCAACTGGGATGGTTTCATATTAAAAAAAAAAAAAATCAAAGCAACGGGAGAAATCGAGATTACTGTGGTTAGGGTGTTTAGGCACTTTATAATTTTTTATCGCATACTGAAACACAATTGACTAATGTCTTTAAAGTATATGAAGAACCTGAAGAAATAGCTGCTGAGGAGGAGGAACCAGCCCCTGTAGTAGAAGAGGAGGAACCTGAAGCTCCACCTCCACCTACAGCAGGTATCAGTCAGGTTCTGCTGCATAGACAGGAAAGTGTGGTCGCTTGGCTGTTACATGTATTACATACCATAAGGTAATATCTATCTTCTATCATCTTGTGTGAAATTTGCCAGTGCTGGCCAAACAAAAACAAAGGCAAGAGAGGGGGGAAAAAGCATTATTTTCACTCATTAAACTTACAGAATTTTATAATATACTTACCAAAAATGTATGTTTTTTAAATGTGTTTATCACTTGGTTTGTGCTTGCAAACGCCTGTTTCTAAAATAAATTCCTGTTCTTCAAGTGCCAGAAGAGCCTAAGAAGGTTGTCCCAGAGAAGAAATTTCCTGTCATCAAAAAACCAGAAGCTCCACCTCCTAAAGGTACTTGTGCTAAAATAAACGTTTACATAATTTCTGTGCCGCCTAAAATCAGAGTTTCTTGGTTGTGTTTTATTCTGTCCTGTACCTACTAACTGTTGTCTGTATGTTATG